ACATAGAAGCCTCGCCGGAAACTTCAAACGGATCTCACGCCACTCAGCCTCAATCGGACTCCATTGAAAACCAAAGATCTTTATGCGTGTGTGTGTGTTTAGTTGGTGAGGCAGCAGCGTCTATGGTGTTAGGGGGTCGTTTTCCGGCGGGTTTAGTGGCTGTTTGCTTGGGCGTTCTCAGCTCTTAAGTTTTGTGTGAAGGGTGCTGAAGGTTTTTGGGTGTGTCGAAGAAGATGAAATCCAAGGGGGGTCATTTGGTGTTCTACGGCGGATCTTCAGGGCCTAGGGGTCTCTAGGTTAGCTGCTGAGTTCCCTCTATTCTATTAGGTTCCTAGGTTGTGTCTATTAAAGGAAGAAGGGTTTTTTAGGGTGTTAGGTTTAATGACTATTGGGTATTGAACTTAATTTAGGAGATTGGGGTAGGTCCATGTCTTGTTGTGTCTTAAAATTTGGTTCCAAAACTCCAAAATTATTGTTCAAAATCATTGTTAAATTTCTTTAATATAAGATAACTATATTACATAATGCAAAAACTAATTCTAATTAATTAAATTAAACTATATTAAAACATGAAACTATTATATTTTATTTTTTGTTTTTTCAAGATTATATAAAGATAAAAATAAGGTACTATTTTTGTATTATTATTTTTAATTTTATGAAAGGTACATAAAATAAAATAAAAATTTATAATTTTTATTTTTGTGACGAAATAAAGTAAACGAGTCAAAATTAGTTGAAATAACTATATTAGACCTAAACTAAATATTTAAATGCTAAAATATGTAAAATCTTGGAGAGGGTCAAAAATTACATGTCTACAGAGCCCAAGTCAAAAAGGCATAAATTAGTGTTTGCAACTACTAATTCAACATGAAAAACATAAATCAGACCAAATATCAACCACCCATAAATATCTAAGCCTTAAAACAAGAGACTCATCAAATACCCACACTAGGGTTGAGCCACAACTCTACCTAATAGGTCTACCTACTCATAATAATGGAAGAAATCAGATATTGAGATGAATAATAACCCATAAAATATAATTTCAAGCTAAGATTGAAGATTCAATGTTAAACTAGCTACAAAATTACTCAAAATAGACTAAAACCGCCGTTCACGTGCTCTGCTAAGATAAAGGTACCCTAAAAATCTAAAAAAGAAGTATTTATGCAAGGCCGAATTTTCTGGACAAAAATACCCCTGAAGGAGGTACCGCGGTCTGCAAGAAATGGACTGCATCCGTGGTGGGGCTTTTAGCTTCAAATCTCTATTCTCTAAAATCTAGCCACCACGGACCGCAATAAATGAACCGCAGCCGAAATGCACCGCGGTCAGCGGTGTTTTGAAACTTCCAAAATTCTAGCTCTCTGAATCCCTTCTCCGCAGACCGCAACAAATGGATTGCGACCGCGATGAGGCTATCACGGCCGCGAAGAATCTACCGTGAGCCGCATTGCTTGGAACTCCAGGATTGCACCTTCTCTGAACTTTGCCACCGCGGACCGCACTAAAAGGACCGCGGCCGCAGTGGGTCTATTGCAGCTGCAGTGGATTTACTGATGTAGCGGTGCTTTGATTTGTTCTTGGCACTTGTGCAGGTTTCACTCCTTTTTGAGCTGATTTTGATTCCTTGTCACTTTTTGACCAAACACTGCAAACAAGCACAACATGTAAGCTTTCGGGATTACTTGTATACATTTTCAATCCAAAACTCAAGCAAAAAATAGTATAAAATAGACTAGAATCCCTAGTTATCAGTTCCCTCTAAAGTTTAAGTTCACTAAGACTAAGAGGATTGCTGCCAATATTCATACTGAATTATATGTTCCCAAGCAATTCAACCAGCATGAGCCCAAGCAGTTCAATCAACTTGCAACTTCAGCCCTAAACGCTCTAGCCATTCCAGGGTTGACCCAAGACCAGTGCAACCAGCTAATGTCTCTTCTTCAACAACATCATATGTCTGATCAGGACTCTTCCTCAACACCTACTCTTACTGCTTCTGCAAATTTTACAGGTATTCTCAGTTGCTTTTCAAGTAATAGGCCTAAATGTTCAATTAATACTTGTTTGTTTTGTAAAGTTGATAAAACATCCTAGATTCTGGACTCTGGGGCTACTGACCATATGACCTCCCATAATAGCCTATTACAAAATGTTAAACCTATACATATTTCTTACTTGGTAACCTTACCTAATGGTTATAAAGTAAAAGTAAAAATGTGTTGGAGACTTACCTTTGTCCAATGTTACTATTTTGAAACATGTTCTTCTAGTTCCTAGTTTTCAGTACAACCTGATCTCTGTGCACAAGTTGGTATCACAACTAAAATGTTTACTAATTTTTAGTCCATATTCCTGCTTTATCTTACAGGGCCTTTCCATGAAGAGGCCTTTGGAGTTTGGTAATACACAACATGGACTCTACATTCTGTACATGCCTTCTTCTGTACCATCTACTTCATTTACTGTTGCCCTCAATTCATCTACTTTTACTTATTCAAATACATCTACTTTTCCTGTTTCCAATAGACATAATGTGGAGTGTTCTGTTGCTTTTTATTATTCTATTCCATTTGTAAATATCAATCATATGAATAAAATGAACACTCTTTGGCATAGCAGATTGGGACATATTCCATTTAGTCATTTGAAATCTATTTTTTCTATTGCTTCTGTGCTTTCTGGTAAACAAGACTTCATTTGCAATATTCGTCCAATGGTAAAGCAAACCAGGTTACCCTTTCCAAATAGTGAAATTCACCCCTTTCCAACTACTGTACATTGACACTTGGGACCCCTATTATATTTCTGCACATGATAGATGCAAATACTTTCTAACAATAGTTGATGATTTTAAGAGAACTACTTGGACTCATTTGCTGAAAACTAAATCAAATGCATTTCCAATATTAAAAGCCTTTATTGCTATGGTCCAAACTCAATTTCACACTAAAGTTTTAACTATAAGATCTGACAATGCTTTAGAGTTGGGCTCCAGTTCTTCTGCTTCTTCTTTCTTTATAGAACAAGGTATTGTCCATCATACTTCCTGTCCCCAAAATGTAATTGTAGCATAGGCCCAAACTGTAATTATTGATAGTGTTGTAGTTAGGCCCAATTTTTCTAGGCCCAATTTTGTATATAAGCATAGGAGCCACATCCAGAACCTTCGGATGGTCATTTTCTCTCTATACAGAAATATCTCTCGATGTTGTTTCTCTCTCCCATCTGCTGCAATTATTTTTCATTTCCTTCCGCGAATTCGACCTAAAATGAGGTTAACAATCACTTAATTCACATTCTTTTGTTGTTAAATGGTGTCACACCTCGTTGGTGATGTAACTACATAAATATGCTATCGATCAATGAACAAAGAAGACGCTTGCTTATTTTATACTATCAATTCACTTAATTCACTAAGTTATTAATTTCCCATATTAATTGAGATTAGCTATCTAAAAAATAAGATAGATTATATGCTACAATAAGTTAAAATACGTTGTTAGACATGGAAACAAAAGCTAGACTTTTTTTGGCAAAAGACTAGCTTGATCGTGGAAATTTGAATTTAGCGTAACTTTGGGCTTTGCCTGCTACCCTTCTCGAGAAGCTTTCAGCCTGTTACTCGGGGAAGAATAGCTATCTGAAATATCATGAAAGGATAAGTTACGGCAACGGAAAAAACGACTTACAGTCGTTTGGCTAAGCTGCCAAAAACTACTTATTTTGAAAAGTAATTTTGTTCAAAAAATACTTTTTAAAAAAGAATTTTTACAAAATAGCAGTTTGTGTTTGGCCAATTCGTTTGAGCAGTATTTTTTTCAAGCTCATTATGTTAGGTCAATCTTTTAAAAAAGTACTTTCAAGTATCAAATTACGAAAAAGGACCATAAAGGTTCAATTTCCGATTAATATTATTTAGAAGAAAACAATCAAACAGTTATTATAAAAGAATTCAATAAAAATATAAAACATAAAGTAAAATATAACTAAAAATTCAATCAATATAAAATATAGTTATTCCAAAGCAATAACATTGAGCATTTGGTATTACTTATTGTTTACATAATAATTTAAATATGCCAAAGTACATCATTCAATATAAATTTAAAATCTACTCTTAGGAATAGGAGAAAGGGAATAACAATATGATTAAAATAAAAAAGAGAAGAAATGTAGTAGAAATAAAAAGGAAAAGAAAAAGAAAAAGAAAAATATTAAATTAATGAGGGATAATTTGAAAAGTATAAATGTATTGTAATATTATTTTTGTCTTGAACAAATTAATTTTCTGCTTCTTGGAAAAAACTAGAATTTGTAGTTTCTCTCCAAAAGCAAAAAAATTGTTTCTGATGCTGCTCAAAAATACTTTTTTATTTTGATCAAACACCTTACAATTTTCAAAAAGTACTTTTTAACCCAAAAAAATACTTTTGGCCTTCCAAAAGCTTGGTAAAACGGCTCTTAATTGCTTATTTGAGTGTAAAACAAAGCACTCATTGTAACCCCAACAATTAATAAGACAGAAAATATAGACGAGGAAAATCACGAGGAGAAAAAGAAAAAGAACTACCACTATCTGATCAGATTCTTTCTTCGCTATGCACCACCAGGGGCGTAGCTAGGTGGAGAAAATTCAATATCATCCGTTGAAAAATTACATCCTGCAAATAAGGCAAAAAAGTTTTTTTTTTTTTTTTAAATATATATATATTGTTAAACGTTTTTCCAAAAACTTACATTGTGCAGAAAGGTACCATTTTTTTTATATAAATTATTGAATCCATTTGATATAAGGTACTAGTGAAGTGACAAAGGAGTTCAAAAAATTGCTTTTGTTATCAGATTCAAATCTATTGCGATATATTGAACAGATAGAAAATATTGCAATAATTTTTATGAAGTTATAGTTTATATAAGGCATTGCAAGCAACCGTTTTTAATTTTGTTTATTAAATTTGGTTCTGGGTAATTATTCATGCACAATAAAATAAGACATGACGCACAAAATATATACAAATCACGGAAGTAAAATGTTCACCAACCATAATTCCAATTTCCAAATATCCACCAATAAAAGCAAAATGCAAAATAGTGTCTAGCAACTAGAGAGCATATATGTTCACATGGTAATAAGAAAAATTCTAAACTAAGAGTTCATAAAATATTTGAACACACTAATGATTTGTGCAACAATCTCATGATTCTAAATAGCGTCTTCATTCATTTCATCAACCCTTTGCTCATTTGATTCGCCTACAAGATAATAAATCAATATTAGCAAATGTTTGGAAGGAAATACATTCTCGACATATATATATATACTGATTTCACAACTAAAGCTGGACAACGACTGGTGTAGGAATGTACAGCAATCCCAGCAAACTTAACTAATCAATAAAATTTTCAGTAAAATTTCCCCTATACTTGGGCAAAACTCTATACCATAGAACCTTTTATCATACATATTCATATCCAAGAACCAACTTCACATACAACCATCACCTGCTCAGTACATCATAGCTTGAAGTATTTGTGAGCGTTACTGTGTTAAAACAAAAAATCAGAAAACTATTAGAAAAATAAAGAAATGTATAAAATAGTAAAGAATCAGAAATATTCCGAGTCCACAATTTTCTTGTGCGTCTTTAAGGAATTTTAACCCCCTCACACGTTGCCAAGGTAATGGATTAAATCCTCCCAGGATAAAACGGAATAAACCTTCCTGCAACAGTGGCAATACAAACTGCAGGATACCCTCAAAGAACGGAGCAAAATCACACTTACGAATTTGAGAGAGAGAGACTGCGAATTAGGATGCAGTATATTCAGAAAGAAAGAAGTTCTAGAGTGTTTTTTCGTGTCTAGAAGATGCAGCCTTGCCTCAGAATTTATAGACAAATATCAGAAGAGGTGTCTGGAAAGGTGCCTTTTCAGAAAATACACAGCCTGCCGCGGTTCTACCGCGATCGCGGCAGAACCGCGGCCAGAGAGGCCCTCTGAACCTGACTGCCGCGATTCTACCGCGGTCGCGGCAGAACCGCGGCCAGCTAGGTCCTCTGAACTTTCAGCAGGGTTCTGGCGTAGTTTCAGCAGTGATTTGACATTTAATTAATTATTAAATAATTAAATAAATTTTGTCCAAAAAATAATCTTATCGATCATTTGACAAATCCGAAGCCGAGCGAGCGACGACGACGGCGCGAGGGTTCATTCTCTTCAACTCCTTTTAAGAGCTTTAAGAAGTGAATCTATATATAAGCACACAAATGTGATTGTCCCTCACCAATGAGGGACAAAGTGNAGAAGATGCAGCCTTGCCTCAGAATTTATAGACAAATATCAGAAGAGGTGTCTGGAAAGGTGCCTTTTCAGAAAATACACAGCCTGCCGCGGTTCTACCGCGATCGCGGCAGAACCGCGGCCAGAGAGGCCCTCTGAACCTGAC